GAGCGTCAGGCGGGCGAGGGGGGGGGCCCTGTGTGTGCACAAGGGCGCATGCTCTTGCTCGCTCGCAGCCGCCAGAGCTGGGGGCTCAGTTTAATAAGGGAGCGAGCGAGCGAGCGAAGCAGACAGACAAGGAAGGAGGTGGCGACGGTGGCCGCGGCAATAGACGCGGCGGCAAGGGGAAATAAAACATAAGAGCAAGGGAGCGGAGGAGCATGTCCGCCATGGGCTCTCCGCGCCTGTGCGCATTCTCTGTTTCCTCATGAACTGGCGCTGAAGAGTGGGGGCGGGGAACGCTGAAGACACCCCAAGGCCCCCAGGCATGGCCAGTTCGGTGAGTAGAAGCCACCTTCCTTCTACCCCAGCCCCCCCTCCACCCGCCCTTTCATAGGCGCACAGCTCCCTTTCCTTCCTTCTCCCTTCTCTCGCGTTTTTCCTCCTCCCTTCTCTAAGCGCTGCCCAGACACCATTTAGTGCTGCCATTTAGAGAGAGGGAGGGAGAGGGTGGTGGTGGGCTTCCCCCCCTTCGCCTTCTCTCATGTGTGTGGCTTCCTCTCGTTTTTCTCCCCACCCCAGCCCGTTCACTCTTCCCTCCTCTCTGTATGCAATTGCATGGCGTGTGCTTGCACACGCGCACGCTGTGGCTGACTCACGCACGCACACACACACACACACACACACAGAGATAGAGAGGAGGCGGGTAATAATCCAGCCATCTCTCTCTCTCTCTCTCTCTCTGTCTCTCTCTCTCTCACACACACACAGACAGAGTGGTGGGTGGAAGTGGATAATCCAGCCATATTTCGACGGCCGCAGCACCGGCGGCCTGCTGTCTCAACCGCCGCCGCCGCCGCGCGCCAAGGGGGGAGCCGTGAGTCCAGTGCAGGGGGACTGACTGGATCGCCGCTCTGGAAGGCGCCTCTCAGGATGGTGCGTTCGCCCCGGCGTGGCTCGCTGACAGCCGGCGGCACCCCTTCCTTCCCCATCCTGTTCAGACGCGCTTCCTCCCCATTTTCCGACTTCTGCAAGCAGCTAGGCATCTGTGAGCTACAGCCAGAAAGAGATATAAACCTTCTCTTCCTTTAGAGAGGGGATGAGGAGAAGAAGAAGAAGAACAACAACAAAAAAACAGCAACACTTGCTTTAAATCACTCTTGTCTCCCATAAAAGAGATTCTTTTTCTGACGATTCTGATTCTCTTTTACGTGTATTGTGGAGTTGAGCTCTGCCTACCTGCAGCAGAAGCTGCATGCTGAGTCCAAATAGGGGAATGCCAGACCCACTATAAATGGAAGGAGCGAGCCCCAAACAGAATACTTACTAAGGGGGAGAGATTCTGGTTTTTCCTTTATGTTACTATCCTGTGCACATCTCTCTCTCGCTCTCTCTCTCTGTCTCTCACTCACTCACTTACTCACTCCCCCACAGCCATACACAATTCTGTACTGGTCCTTGTCTTGATCATATGCTAGCCTACATTCCGTTACAATCCCAGCTGCTGCAGCAGTGGGAATACATGTTTAAGGAACATTTTCCCACCCATCTTTGGTGGACAGCAGTTTTCTTTGTGTGTTCATATTTTTCTCTCCCACTTTTTTCCAGGGAACTTTAAATCTGAAGAGGTAGGGGCCCTTGCCTTTTCCCCTTCATCACTGTTATCTCTCTCTCTCTCTTTCTCTGTTTCTGTAGTGTGCTGTTCAGGTGAAACTGGAGCTTGGGCATCGAGCCCAAGTGAGGAAGAAACCCACAGTGGAGGGTTTTACTCACGATTGGATGGTGTTCGTAAGGGGACCGGAGCATAGTAACATTCAGCACTTTGTGGAGAAAGTCGTCTTTCACTTGCATGAAAGCTTCCCTAGGCCAAAAAGAGGTAGGGCTTCAACACAAAGGTATCTTGAGAAATCTCCACTTAATGTGTTTGTTTCAGGGGGCAAAAAGAAACAGTCACCTTCCAAACTCCTGGCATTGCTCTCCTCTTCTGAACAAGGGCAGGGGCAGTGGCTGCTCCTTGCAAAGGATTACAGCCTGGACTGGAGCTTTTCTGAGAAGCTGATTGTCTGTTGGAGAATGACCCTCAGGTGTACCAAAGGAGAGGGTGGTGACAGCTTTCATAGTTCTTTGGATGTTGAAGGTAGCAGTCAGTTGCTTGGCTACAATTTCAGGTGAGGTGGAAAAAAGCAGACTAGAGCTTCTGTGTCCAAAAGAGGGGACACCTGGGCATTTTCTGTCAGTTATTTTCCTCTGCCCCTTGAAAATGTCTCTTCTTGGTGGCTGCAGCGACAATAATTTTTAAATCCTGTTGCCTGTAGCTACTCTTTCTTGATGAAAGGCTGCAGTGTTGCTGTTTTATTATTTCTCTGAGCGATATTTGTGGAATTTTTTCTTTGGAGGGAAGGAGACAGGCTACATTCTTTGTTGGTGCTGCCTGTTCTTTCTTTATATCCTTTTGTGTTTTCTTAATTTTGCTCTTCGACTGTTAATGTACTGGACTAGTGAAAAGTATAATCAAGAACTGCTGGCTGCAAGAAAATGGATATTTGTTTAGTTTTCTGTTGCTATCTTTGTCTTCTGGATTATGTTCTTCAGTTATTTGGTGATCATCATACAATTATGCGTAAGTGGCAGTAAAATACAAAAGGGTGAGAGTAATGTTTCCTCCTATTGTGCAATGGCTTAGGGAACCTTTGTTGTTGGCTTTTGTTCCTTTGGCTTACAAGCTGTTGTTTTGACTGTTTTGGTTGGAGGTAACAGTACAAATACAGAAATGTGCTTCGTGAACAGGTTTGTTTATCTAAATAGGTACGGTGGTTAGTAGTATGCTGTGTCCAATCTGTAATGTTTGTTGTCATGTAGAACTTTTGCAGCCTCCTAGAATGGCATCCTAATAAATCCGTTCTTACAGATTTCCAGAATTATTCAAATATAGAGGCATAGATAAATAGAAAGCGGGAAGATCTCTTTAGTTTTCTCTCTTTGTAAAATATGATTTTAAAAGGTAAAGTGAGTATTGCTCATGCCTTGAGGTCATCTTTGAAAACTTTTAATTAATTTTTAAAACTTTTAAACAGTTACTTCAGTAGCTTCTTTTCCTACATAGTATTAAATACTTTTCTCTTTACAGTACAAGGTTTATTTTAATCATCATATATTTATTGGTTTTGTGTTGCATTTTCAGTGAACTTTCCCATAGCATTTTTTCAAATCTGTTACTGTTTTTCCAGCTTTTTTGGAACAAAATATCTGCCAATAAAAATAACTTCCCATCGTTTATCTCTCCCTCTGTAGTGGGAAGTTTCTATGTCATGTCAATGCAAGCAAAGGGATACAATAAGCTTGCATAAGTTTTTCTTTCTGTCATGGAGTTCAATGATATATGGAAAGCAGTAACAGCATAGTGCTTAGTTTTCCTTTCTTCACACTGCAATTCTCTCCTTGTCTGCTCAGAAATATGTCCCTTGGAAATCAGGAAGGGTGGATTTAACTTCCAGAGTACATGTGAATAGTATTGTTTCTGTAAATCCTAAAACTTGTTTATGTGCTGTGGCTTGTGAAAGCTTACTTGATTCTCAGTCGTAATGATTTGCTGTCCAGCGCTCTAGCTCAAACCTAGAGATGGTTGCTAGGTACGTTCACTATATTCTTGGTTTGGCAAGGAAGTGGTGTGTTTCACATATAGTCTGTCCTGTTAAGGGTTTTGTTTGTTGCTTTTCTTTATAGCCTTTGTTTTAAAGTGTTTGTGTGGGATTGGGTTGGCTATGGTTGTTGTTTGTGTGATGTGTTTTTCCATGTAAAAAATGTTATGGAAAATGCTGGCTCATGTATCCTGGGGGAGAACTCATCCTATTGTAATCACCAATGACTCAGAGTGTATTAGAACATTCTCTATTCACTGAGGATTTGTGGGGGAAACTGAATCTGTACTAAGTATGCTAGTCACCTGTACAGTTGGCTCCAGCTTTTGTGGCATAACAAAACTGATGAGAGATCAAGAGGCATGCTTCAAATTTTTCTGGTCGTGCCTGACTTTGGTGAGTCAAAGGGCAGAGGGTGACTGTGTTTTAGTGATGCCTTATTTATTTTAGAAGCTCAGTATTTATTTTCTGCTAAAAATCAATGTCTGATACTGATGTGTAATGCGTCTCAAGGGCTAGTGGGTGAAAGCATCTTACCTTGATTCTTAGTGACTGGTAGAAGTTAGCTTGTGAAAATAGTCCACATCTTTTTGAAATGCCAGTGGAACTCTAGTTTTGCATATAGAATATTTGAGTTTTACAATATATCAAAAGATGCACAATTTCATTTTACAGTGCATTGTTTATTGGATTGCAGCATACATGTTTTGGAATTTGCATTGCTGAATATGCTGTCTACTGGTTGGTATGAAACAACTGGTGGAGAGTATTTATGTTTGGGGTTTTCACACAGTATGAAATTTTACATATAGCTTGAATCCAAGTGAAATATTACTGTTCCTTCAAATTCTCTTCCATCCCAAAAGTTCTGCCCTACTCAGGGTATATTTGTGTAACAGCAATCTTGCTCATTCCTCTGTGGCTGGCAGATTTGAACACTTGTATGGAGACCCACCAGAGCCAAGTTACTACCTGCGAGTTATTCTGGATCCTATTTTTGCTTTCTGGAGTATGGATACTCTTAGCATATTACATGGGTCCAGCAATGTGTCTAACATTTTTGTAAATAAATCCCTAAGGATGTCAGTGGAAAGAACTTTAGTACAGTGGTGCCTCGCTTAATGGCGATAATACGTTCCAGGAAAATCACCGTTAAGCGAAAACATCGTAAAGCAAAAATAAAAAGCCCATTGAAACACATTGAAAACCTTTCAATGTGTTCCAGTGGGCTTAAAACTCATTATCCAGCGAAGATCCTCCATGCGGCGGCCATTTTCGCTGCCTGTATAGCGAGGAATCTGTCCCTAAACACAGTGGGGAGCCATTTGATTTACCCAGCGGCCATTTCGAAACCGCCGATCAGCTGTTTAAAAAACATTGTTTTACGAAGAATCGGTTCCCGAAGCAGGGAACCGATCATCGCAAAGCGAAATTCCCCCATTTAGACCATCGTTTTGCGATCGCAATTGCGATCACAAAAAGATCATCGTAAAATGGATTCGTCGTAATGCGGGGCAATCGTAAGGCAAGGCACCACTGTATACAGTCATGGGCAAAAATATTAGCACCCTTGCAATTCTGTTAGGAAATGAAACCCTTCTCTCTCAAAATTGTTACAGTTGCAAATGTTTTGGTACTCACATGTTCATTTCTTTGGTTTGCGTTGGAACAACACAAAAAAACAGAGAAGAAAAGTCAGATCTAATACAATCCCACACAGAAACCCAAAAATGCAATGGCCAAAAGTATTGGCACCCTGTCTAAATTGTAAGAAATAATTGCTTTTCAAGCATGTGATGCTCCTTTAATTTGTATTTAGACACACCTGTTGCAAGTAAGAGATGTGGGCAACACAGTAATTACACTTGCAACAAGATGGAGAAAAGTTGACTCAACCTTTGTGTTGTGTGTGACACTGAGCATGGAGAAAAGAATGAAGTATAAAGAGTTGTCTGTGGATTGGAGAGAAAAAATTGTGGAAAAACATCAGCAATCTCAAGGCTACAAGTCCATCTACAGAGATCTTAATGTTCCTGTTTCCACTGTGCACAATATCAACAAGAGGTTTATAGCCCATGGCACTGTAGCTAACCTCCCTGGATGTGGACGGAAGAGCAAAATTACTGAAAAATTACAATGAAGGGTTGTTTGAATAGTGGATACAAAACCCAGATTAACTTCCCAACAAATTCAAGCTGATCTACAGACACAGGGTACAACAGTGACAGCTCGCACTGTGCGTCACCATCTGACTGAAAAGGGCTGCTATGGTAGGAGACCCAGGAGGACACCACTGCTGACACAAAGGCATAAAAAAGCAAGACTGGAGTATGCCAAAACCTATGTGACAAAGCCGCAATCCTTCTGGGAGAACGTACTGTGGACAGATGAGACAAAAGTTGAGCTTTTTGGTTAAGGACATCATGGCACTGTTTCCAGAAAAAGAAACGAGGCATTCAAAGAAAATAACACACTTCCTACAGTTCGACATGGTTGAGCTTCAAAGATGTTTTGGGGTTGCTTTGCTGCTTCTGGCACTGGATGCCTTGACTGTGTGAATGGTATCATGAAATCTGATTATTACCAAAGAATTTTGGGGTGCAACGTAGTGCATCTCTACCAAAGGTCATGAGTCTTCCAACAGGACAATGACCCGAAGCACACTTCAGAAAGCACTCAGAAATAGTTACAAACCAAGCGCTGGAGAGTTCTGAAATGGCCAGAAATGAGTTCAGATCTGAATCCCACATAGAACACCTGTGGAGAGATCTCCAAACAGCAGTTGGGAGAAGGCATCTTTCAAATCTGAAGGCCCTGGAGCAGTTTGCAAAAGAAGAGTGATCCAGAATTCCAGTAGAGAGGTGTAAGAAACTGATTCATGGTTACAGGAAGCAATTGATTTCAGTTATTTTCCAAAGGGAGTGCTAACAAATATTAAGTTAAGAGTGCCAATAGTTTTGGCCAGTGCATTTTTGAGTTTCTATGTGAGATTGTATCGGATTTTACTTTTCCTGTCTGTTTTTTGGTGTTGTTCCAACGCAATCCAAAGAAATGAACATATGAGTACCAAAACATTTGCAAGTGCAACAATTTTCTGAGAGAAGGACTGCATTTTCTGCAAGGATGCCAATATTTTTGGCCGTGACTGTAGGTGGTAAGGCTATCAATGGCTACTTGTCATATTTCATCTCCAATATGGAAGGCCATATGCTTCTGAGTAACAATTCCTGGGGAGTAC